AATTCCGGCCAGAACCAAAGGAAGAACTCCAAAAAGCCTTAAGTAAGAAAGCTTAAACACCAACAGGCAGTAAAATAAAATGTTTAAGTATTTTTACCCTCAATGATTAGGCAAAACACGTTATCCAAAATATACCATGAATTTTTTTCTTTGGGTTCCTTTAATCATTTTTTTAATTTGTCGCTTTTTTTACTTTCGAAGGCTTTATTTTTTTGCTAAACACACACACACACACACACCACAAAACGAAAAATTTGTGTCTTCTTTCGTCAAGTGGACTTTGTTGAGTTATATTTTCCTAACGTTGGGATTTTTATATTTTCCTCTCCATAGCATTGATAAGTTTCCTAACAGAATGTTAAAGGGTTGACGAGCTAAGTATCCGCAGGTTTATGATTTTTTTTCTTACAATAAGGTTCCTTGGTTGTCTTATTTAGCCTTTATTTTATATTTTCTTTGTAAATGGCAAGCCTGAAGATATCACAAAAAAGTAATTTTACATTCCCGAAACAGAAAGAATGATGTGGCAATTGTTGAGAAAGATTTAACTAAAATAAGATGAGTTGGCATTGGCTTTTTTTTGCTCTGGTTTTGATTGCTCTATTGTAATACTTGTGTAGGCTGATATTTTCCTTTTGATTGACGGATAACTTATTAAGGGCTAGTTTAGATTTTACATCAAATCTAATATTTTGTTACAATAACTTTTTAAAGTAATTTTTCTTCTAATAGTTCGCCTAGTTGGAGTAATAAATTGTCTTGTTGATAAGCAGTGTTGGCATTAATACTTACCGGCAAGCCATTAACAAATCCAATTGGTAGACTTAAACTAGGAAAGCCACCTAAACTGGCTAAAAGCAGTAAATTATCGCTTCAATGGATTTCACTGCCGGTAAAAAAAAAAGTGCTATGTTCGATTTTTGGGGCTTCGCTGCTTGTACTCGGCAAAAGCAAAAAATTATATTGGCGAAAAATTTTATCAGTTCAATCTTTTACTTTTTGTCGAAAGAGATAGGCTCTCTCACAATCTTTTTTATTTTGTAAAAAATAACTACCCAACATTAAACGTTGCCGCAAAATTTCCTTGTTTATCTCTGGTTAATTGGGTTACTTCTTCATCTTTTCAATCAATGTCATAAGAACAGACATGGTTAGTCATTGCAGTGGCTAATTCTGGACCGCCTATTTTAGGAAAACCAGGATAATTTTCCACATCGGCAGTTTTGTTTAACTTACCACCGGCTAAATCTTTTTCGAAAATCAAAGTTTTCAACAAAGCTCTTTTGGCATAAATTGCTGCGGTCAAACCGGCTGGTCCAGCCCCGATAATTATTAAATCGTATTGTTGGTTATTTTCCATAAATTATTCCCAAGCCCCGATTTTTTTTCTTAACTCTTCC